GAATTTTAGGAGAAATGTGATATTCTCTAATGTTTCTAATGTACTATTGACAAATTATAATACAAAGTACCTCTCTGGTTACCAATTATCGAATATAAACCCTAATTAGGGTTAGTAACGTAACAACTCAATAATTCAATTATATATTATTTGGGTATAAATAATATCCGTAACACAAGGTAGTGGAGTTCGTAAACCTTACACTACATGACAAATTCATATCAAATGTTACATATACAAATTTTTGGTGAATTCGTCACCAAATGCGACAAATTTTATACCCGGCTAAACACCAATTTTTTTAATTTTTTAATGGCAACAACTTAGGAATTCAACCTAACCTTCATTTAACGTATTATTATTTTTAATAATAATGATTTTTATAATAATTTGAATTTTTATAATTCAAATTAAATATTTATGCATCATTTATATCACACTTTTTATAAAATATCACTCTTTTTTTATAAAAATACCAACATCTTTATAAAATATAAAGAGTTGACTTTTGTGTTGGTGAAAGCCCATGACTAGACTAGTTGTCACCCCTTTTCCCAACACAATCTTTACCCAACATGTATCCAAGCCATTACACAAAATACATCCATGCATGCCCACCCCCTCCCCCATAAATTACGTCCAACCCTCCCCCCCCCCCCCCCCCCCCCCCCCTTCACTTCATCTTCTCCAACTTCTTCATTCTCTCATTTTCTCTCAAGAACTCTTCATCTTTCTCTAGGATAATTTCTCCTAAGTTGGTTCTTCAATTTTTGGTAAGCTTTTCTTCACTAATCTATTGATTCTACACACAAATATACTAGTTTTGTTACAATTACATACATTAATATGTGTTAATATCTATAAGGTAATTCCATCTTCAAGTGTTCTTCAAGAGTCTTCATGTGTTCTAAGCTTGAAAACCTTCATCTTCATATCTTTATCCAACCACAAACACACTCAAGGTGAGTTCATACCCCTTCATTTTCGTTTTATCCAAGTTGTGTAAAAGTCTTATTTACATGAAATAATGTTATTACCTAGTATTATGAACATTTATGTGTGGAATGTTGTTTAAAATGCAAAAATCTATGAATAATGAGTATAAGCATACTATATGTTCTTGGGAAAAGGTCACAAAAACAAAACTATAAAAACTATGGTTTTTATGAACATAATATGACTTTTCTAGCAAAAATGGTTTTGACCAAGCTATTACATTATTTTTGTGTGATACAAATTAAAACATGTTATTTTGAACATGTGGTATGAAACTAGTTAAAATACCAATGATTTGGTTTTACAAAAAAAAAAAAAAAAAAAAAACCCTTAAAAATCCACCATTTTTTTATGTAAAAGAAGGGTTTTCTAGCAAAAATGGTCATGACTAGGTTATGGTACCATTTTTGTGAGATTTGACCTAAAATATGTTATTTTAAATATATAAGGTTAGTTTGACTTAACATCCACAAAAATGTAAAAATAAATTTTACAAGGTTTACAACCTAAAATTTTACCGATTAGTGACGTTAAAAAGGCAAAAAACTAGAAAAATTGGCTTTATCATACCAAATCTTCTTATACTTGTGTTAGATATAAATTATATGATATAATCTTTTAAAACATCTAAACATGCTAACTTATATATATATATAATATATATAGATCTATATATATTATATATTATATATATATCTATCTATATCTATATCATGTGTGTGTGTGTGAGAATATATGGACACAACAAAACATTTATAATAAACTATAATAGGTATAGTTTATGGGTCATTGACACTATTTTACCGTTTTGGGATACGATACAAATAATTATTTAAATGTATAATTATTTTACACTATGTATTTACTATGGAAATACATTATTTCCACTTACAAAAGGGTTTTCATCACACTATACGTAAACCTGTGGATACAATTTTGTGAGACATAGTCTTCACCGTACCTACCAAAGTATACAATAAAGTCCTGAATTACAATCATAATCTCGATAAGAGAGCGTGACACTTGTGTATAGATCTATACAGGACTGACAATCCTGCACCTAAGTTGTTAGCTACAGCTACACCAGCAGGTCTGGGGTGACAATTGTCTAACATTCCGACGCCGGAAGAACGCCGCAGCAGACCAACTAGTTTTAGCATGGTTGTAATAACTCACATGCGGTATTAACAATACATTTAGTTTACGGGGCTAACATACGTTCAAATGGTTTTCTATAATGATAAAACCACATAATACTATTTTCAAGTACATCAATACTTATACATTTTTGGTCTTAGGGTTTTTAGACTACAACTCATTTTAAAAAAATATTGGATTTTCTGGAAACATATACTATCATTTTACAAGGAAAAGTTACAGATTTGTCGCATACAAAACTCTTATGAACTCACCAACTTAATTGTTGACACTTTTTTCAAAACTACTTGTATTCTCAAGGAATCGTTAAGCAAGGTAATTACAAGGTTGTGAGGATGGACGCTACAGCGTCACACTATTTACTTTTGTCATAATGTAATTGGTATTGAAACAAATAATATTTGGATACAGTGTAATTTTTCCAATTATAATTATGATGATTGTGTTGCTTTGATCACTATTATTCAATTTGTTGTGATAATGTTCATGAAGTCATCAACCCTCAGACGTTTGTGTCATTCTGGTTTGGGGGTGTGACGTCGTTGGTAAGGTCGTTGTACTCACCCCCTCACATGTTATGGTAACATGCCAGATACAATGACTTAAATGGATTTTGCTTTTGTTTTTTTTTTTAATTTATGACACAATTCATATGTAATTGTTATTTTGAGCAAGCAAGCTATTATCTATCATGGTATCAAAACTTGGTCGTCAACCTCCATCGTCGACGACTCTCTTTAGTAGTCCTTATGACTTAAGCAATTGGAGATGGGTGAAATTCTATGGTAGGAAGGATCAAGCATCATGCATTATAGGAAAGATGTACTCCTTATTGGAGCAAAATATTTCAGGATAGACTTCGCAAACCCATTTCATGAAGATATGTTTAATGGTCATGTGTCTATCCTAAATTATAATTCGAAAGGTAGAACGCCTTTGGATATACGACAACATATTTCAATCCGAAATTAGTCAATGAAGAAGTGAGATGCCTCAAAAATTGTAATATGCATGACGCTTATCCGTAATTTTCTAGGCCATTTTTTTCTTAGAATGAGAGACTTATATGAGAGTAGCGGATTGGATTGGGTTGGGTTACTTGCATATGCATTACATCTTTGATTATGATTTTATCTACTCTTAAGCTTATATATTACCATTATGAAATGATTTTTGATACAAGGAAATGGTTATGGAAAATGTTTGTTACTCTGAAAAAGGTTTTTCACATGTTTTTGGAATCTAGATTTAGGATTTAGGTTATTGTCATTACTCAATACCATTCCATAGTCGGATTATGGTATTACATATTAGACTTTCCAAGACTAACGTACTATTTTGATATGTACTTGTAGATGAAGATGAAACTTAGGATAAGAAGCTTCGACATTTAGAAAGTCATGTATATATGATTTATTTAAACTTTTGTTTTGATATTTGAATTTGACAACTTGGCACTTTAAACTTTGTATTTGAGATTATTTAACTCTTGAATTTTGTTTTGAGTTTTCAAAATAATGTTTTGAGATTATTTAAAAATATTTGAAATGATTTTAAGAAATTAATATTTCTAGTAACTTGTACGAGCAGTGATACATACATGCAAATTGCAAAAAAACAATTTTTTTTATTTCTCAAACAATTTGTGGAAATAGGGTTATACTGGAAACCATGGATTTCTTAATTATTATCCACCGGCAGACCTATGTAGCCTGGAATAGTATATGTTACCCCTCAAAATTTCCTAGTATAAACTTTTGAAGGAAAAAATTGCAAGTGATCAGAGTTGGAAATAAGAATGGTAAACCAACATACAAATAGTACACATGTGTCTCACTATTAAACATACACCTAACTCTTTATCTTTAATGTAAAGATAGTAATTAATAGTATTAATAGTAGCTATTAAATTATAATCTTGAAATCATTATCCCTATTAATTGGTTTTGTTTTTTTATCCTTTTATTTTCACCCTCAAATAATATATAATTTTAATTAAAGAACAATTAATTAAATGTGTATTTTTTATTTTTCAAAGATAAAATAGTAATTTATTTAGATTTTATCATTGATATTTTTATCTAAAAAATAAACAATATTTATATCAGTCAATAATTTTTCAATACAAATATCATTATTCATTCATATCATACTTTAACAATATAACATCCAAAACGAGAGTTTTTTTTGGTTTTACCTTTGAGTTTAAGAGGTTCATCTTTAGCTCTTACATGGAAAAAAATGTGCTATCCCTAAACTTTTTTTTAGCCCGTGCCAATGTTTTTGATTGGTTAATGGTAACGTTTTTCCAATTCTTCTATATATATTCATTTTCATTCAAACATGTACTTTTGTTTTACATACCCTATTTTGATCACAAAACTAAATCAATAAATTTGTTGATGCCAAATTCTCTTGAAAACTTCACCACCAGATGCTAAACCTGTCGGTGCCTTTTGTTTTGTTGCATCTTTTAGGACCAAAAAAAAAAAAAAAAAAAAAAAAAAGCCATTGTTATATATATATATATATATATATATATATATATATATATATATATATATATATATATATATATATATTACCAGATCAGATGCTTGTTTTGTCTAGGTCATAATAAATGTTGCCAAATGTTTGTGGTAATTTCAAAACACCGGGTCACAATCATATAGTTTTGCGTCCGACCAGTTTTATAGGCTACATGCATACATTACATAAATACACTATTATGTTACGTTGAAATTGTGGGGTACCCTTGAAAAATATATGTAATACATGATGTTTTTATAGGAGTGGTATTTGAATTTTTAGATGAATAAGTTTATGAGATTCTTGATTTTAATTTATGCAATACTGATATTGTTCACAAGAAGAAAGATGAAATCAACTTAGCCAAACATTTTTACACTACAATAAACTTAAAGACCCCAAAAATCTCCATCTACATTAAACTATTAACTATCAAGTAAGTGCAAGTTTATGATAAAGCACCCTGGAAATTTCTTCAATCTTCATTTTCAGAAATACTATTCAAGGCCGGTTTCCATTGATGTTGTTGATGATGACGTCTGTTTCTGTTTCTGATACTGATATTTTTGTCACGCTGCAACTTGTGGCTCTAAACACATAAACAAACACAAAACTTACAACGATATTAAGAAAAAAAAATACATAAATGATTTTGTGTTAATTTATCATGACATTCAAGAAATATTACCAGAAAATGAAATTATTGATTTTTGAAAAGGGAAATTTCTAATAGAAAACAGGGGAAAGGTATAGTATGGATGAAACAATATTTTCAGCTTTTAGTGAAACGTGGAGACACGTACAATTGTACAAAGGTAAAGAGTAATATCTTTTGGAAGAGGCAAGAAGAATAAGCTTTCATAAATTTGGAAAAAAAGAATGGCCATAAAGGAAAAAAGATTCGTTGGCCCATTGCGTGAACGTGAAACGAATAGCTACGAATGCCATAAATTACAATGTCGTACATGATGTACAAATCCACAATTTCCATGGCAAATTTCTGAAATATCTTGAAAACCGATCAAATCCACAAAATGATTATAGAAAACTGTAAGGCAATCATCCAAATGTTGTGTTTTGTGTTCATGATTTGGAAACGAATATGATCGAACACAATTTTAGCGATTCTAGAGCATTTGTGGAGGACGACGGAAAATTTGATTACCTTCACGGAGGATGCATTTGCATTTGCATTTGGTGCCTTCGTCGGAGCTCCGGCAAGGCCTTTCTTCTCCAACACGAGCACTCCTCTTTCCTTCAACAACTTCCCTAGTTTCACGCACTTCTTCGCGGCAAACTCTTTCAACACATCTAAAAAAAATTAAAACGATCGAGCACACAATTTGAAGATGTTATAACGTGTAGATTGATAAATAATCGTAGAATCGTACATGAACTCCACTAGATTACCTTCGAAACAGATTAATCGGTAAACTTTACCGATAACCAACGGATCGTCTGGCCGGAGAAGTTTGAGCTGTTTCACCGGCAATCCATTCTCGGATTGCGACGTCATGACAACGGCGACGTAATGGCCAGGGTTTAAACTCATGACGTGTCGAGCACTAACCGACTTGTAAATCCTCTCGATCTTGTTTCCTGGATGCATAATAACCACCGTCGCCGCCTCCGCCGCTTGACAATTCCCCATACCACGATGATCGATCCAATTAATCAATGTCGTAACTCAAAAGTCCCGAGGGTGATTCAGAAATCAGAGATCAGAAATCAATTAGCCTTACGAGTTACGTTACGTCTTCCAGTTGTGATTTTTAATACTGAATCAGTCTGTACCGAATGTAAGAAACTGTGATTATCGAGAATAAATTTTGAGGGCAGAGAGGGCTAAAATGTACGAACCTGTAGAGAGTTTCAGAGCCAATAAATGAGAGGCAAATTGTGAATGAGACTGACGTGATCGTCACGTTGATCAAGGAGCAAAATCTGAGTACGAACTACGAAGGTTCCACTGATGATGTGAGAACTGAGAAGGTGTTACTCCATGAGTGAAATGCAGGATGTGGTAGGTAAAACTTAAAAGAAGGTGTGAATTAAATTGAAGATGGAAATGGAGAAGACGATGGGGTGGGGGCATGGAGGATTATGATTTAAGTACTGCAATCAATCCACCGGCATCTAATATTTGTTGGTATCGAAGGTCGGTGGGTCTACACAAATTATATATGTACGAGTTTAACCAACAAGCTACTATAAAACAAAAATCTTGATTTCTTATCAATTAAAATGTATATGTTCATCGTTAAATTCATATATTCATTTGATCTTTTGAACTATAGTTTTTTATTTATTTGATGTGAAAGCTAACCCAATTACCAACCTTGACATGGGAAATTATGTTGGTATTGATTTCAGAGTAAACTTTGTCGAAGGGGGTGTCAATTTAGCAACACAATTTTTCTGGTAAGGTTCGTTGTGAAATGAATAATTTTTAATATTATTCTTGTTAACACGGTTCGTTCTAAATTTGATTTGTAAATGGTTTATGTCAGCGCCACAATTGAGTTGAAGAATTCTATATGAAAACGGTTCTAGGTATTCAAAGAAACGAGTTTACCCATTTTATAGAAATGTGTATTTTCCATTTTGAACACAAATTCAGAACCATATACGTCATCATGAGAATATATCAACGTCTATAATTTTGTGTTCTTTGTGATACATTCGTTTTGTAATATTAAAGGTCCAAAATGGACTTGTGATGAGTGAGAAATTAATAATGAGAATAAGGTGGTTGAAAAAGTTAGATACGAAGTTTAATGTGCTTTAATCCATCTCTTTAAATAACAATAGTTTAGTTAATTATCTTTGTACTTGGAATTACATAAGTTAGGTGTGAAAATACTATCAAAAAAGGTGTAAGTGATGAAAAAAATTAAAATGATGGGTAAACAAAGTTGGAGGGGCTATTTGTGTACAAAACTCAAATTAGGAAAACCCTAATCCCCCTCTACTTCCATTCTCTTTTGATTTTTGACCAAAATCCTAGTCTCCTCCCCCCCCCCCCCCCCCCCACCGCATGCGCGACTCTTGCTTTTTTATCGACGACCTCAAAGGGAATTCCTGGATTTCCCGTTTTTGAAGTCAGCCTCATTTTTCTCGTACGATCCTCGGAGATTGGACTGTTGGATCATCGTGATTTTTGGATTGCAGATTCCTAAGACATAGATGAAGGTTTTGACTAAGGGTTTTCATTTCAAGATCTGGAGTTCAAGATATAGATGGTCGAACAAGGTTGGGTTTTCAGCAAGAAGAGAAGTTGTTTTTTGTGAAAATTTATGCACAAATCATTTTCTTCTTCTCTGAAAAAACTTGGCCCTATCCCTTTTGTGACATTCTATCCTTGGAAAAAAATGACTACTTTATGTATCTTTTCCAAATCTTCTTTTGTGTCTCCATTAAATTGAAGGGGACGGCAAAGACAAAAGGGGCAAACTCTATTATTGATATGGGCTCATGCGTATCATTTCCCCTGATTTTTTCATTAGATATGTTTATCTTCAATTTCTAATATTCTAATCTTAGAATATAATTATTCATTTTGTGAGTTTAGTGGTGTAGGTTTGGTTGAAGTGGTGAAGGGTGTGTTTAGTTGGGTGGGTTTGGCTTCACCATTATTGGTATCTCAAATGACCGAAAAAGCTAATATATTTTTCGATTTGTACACATTTGATCACTGATTTTTTTTCATCCACATTTACCCCTTCAACTTGTTAAATTGTACACCTTCAAAGCTTATGACCGGCTACTCCAGGTTAGCGGGTAAAAATCACTTTGTACGCAATTAGTCCTTAATATATTTGTACACATTTAGTCTTTAATATTTTTTTTGTTGCAAAATAAGTCATTTTTGTTTTTGTACTAATTCAGTACTTATGAATGATTTCTTTAGGTTTTTGTCACGACATCTTACGTGAGACAATCATTAATGAGGTGTTTATGGCTTTTGATAATTATATTCATCGCGATCTCGACTACTTGGTTGTTTAGGTCATGTGTTCAGAACGTCATAACTTCTTCACGCGATCTCGAATTTTAACAATCTTTATATTTATGTGTTCGTATTTTAGTCTATTACAACTTTCGTTTAGATTACTCCCGTTAAAAAGTAATATATTTTTACTTACGATCTTTATATCCATAAGTTTCTTATGAATGCATGTATGGATGTTTTTTTTATAAAATTGTGAGTAAAAATATATTACATTTTAACGAGAGTAATCTTAACGAAAGTTGTAGTAGACTTAAAAAACGAACATGTGGATATAAAGATCGTTAAAATCTGATATCGTATGAAGAAGTTATGACGTTCAGAACACACGACCTAAGCCAAACCACAAGACCGACGCAACCAAGCAGTCGAGATCACGATGGACATAAGCATCAACAACCCCAAACACGTCATCAGTGATTGTCCCACGTAAGATGTCGTGAGAAAAACCTAAAGAAATCATTCATAAGTACTGAATGAGTACAAAAACAAAAACGACTTATTTTGAAACAAAAAATTATTAAGGACTAAATGTGTACAAAAGTATTAAGGACTAGTGTGTACAAAATGAGAAATATATTACCCTATTAAGTCATTTTCACTGGCTAAACTAGAGTAACCGGTCATAAGGACCAAATATGTAAAGTTTAACAAGTTGAAGGAGTAAATGTAGACGAAAAAGAAAACTCAGTGACCAAATGTATACAAATCGGAAAACATATTACCCTTTTAAGTCATTATCCCTTTAAAATAATGAATCAAATGGAGAAAAATAATATCTTAATGACTTTACAACTTTAAATTGATACAAGAACTTAAAATGCTTCACAATTTCTTCTCCAGTTCATTTTCACCTACAAGAATGAACTTTCATCTCTAAATCACTCTCTAAAAATGTTGTTAGTGAAATGAAATAACACAAAGAAGACTTAAGTCCTCTAAAGTTTCATTACTTCACAAGACTAGTCTCTGAACTTCATTTCACTTTTGTTATAAAATAATACTAATTATCACTCCTAACTTTGAATTTCTAACTTTAACCGTCGAATGTTAATATATTAACAATTCAGGTCCAAAATCTACTTCACTAAGTTAAGTCTTTTATCATATACCTTAATTTCTATAATTTGCAAATTTAACCCCCCCCCCCCCCCCTCTTCACCTAACCAGGATGACCATCCAGTTAACATCCCAAGTCCGTCAACATCTATTTTAACATTCGATTTTAAAACTTTTACAAACTAAGTGTATATTCTAATTAATTGAAGAGAAAAAAGGCAAATATAATCACTTTCCACAAAATAGCCAAAAATTAAGAAAATTTCGTTTTTAGCCAACAAAATAACATCTTACTTGACCTCGCCTGTGATTTTGCTTCCTCAACTGTGATTTTGAGTTTTGTATATAAGAAAATCAGTTAGGCCATTTTGACAAGGCCCAAAATCATAGATGGCACACGACAAAATTTTCTCTCAACTCATCTACGATTTCATGTTGTTCTTCAATTTTTTTGGCAAATCCGTATACAAATTTATAAGCCTTTAATGAACAGTTTGTGCATTAAAAAAAGTTGTGCATTCGTAGATTACTATGCCATCTGCGATTTTGTTCTCAACTTTTTAAAAAATTGGACTTTAAAACTACAATTTACCATTGAGTTCCAACTAATATGATAAAATACAAACTAGAAACAACATTGTTAATAGGTATCAAGCCACATGAATAATTTTACAAACCTTAAACTCAAAAGTAAGGCTAATTTTTTTAGAGTTATATAATATAGGATGATAGGATACAAAATAACAGCCTATTTACTACAAAATAACATTCTATTTACTGAAATCACATGCAAAGCAGGACAACTTGAGATTTTGTTGGCTAAAATTGGAAATTTTCAATTTTTGGCTAATTTGTGGAAAGTGAATAGGAAAATTGACTTCATGTGTCATTCCTTAATTCTCAATCTCAAAGCTTTAAAATTCAAATTTCATCCAACAATATTAAAATTTAAAATAAGTTATTTCAAATTAAATAAATTTAAACACTATAAATCATTTATTTTTAATTAATTTAAGTTTTAAAATTAATTTATTTCACAATGAATTTTACTTAAAGGTTAATATAACGTCCCAAAAATTATAAAGAGATTTCGATTCATAAAAAAGTTTAACCAATTAAAATCATTGTTTTAAAAACCATTGAGTGACATTTATTTGATTAAAACCATACATTATCATAGCCAAATTAAAAACTGTGGAAACGAATATCTTCAGTGCGTGTGTACAGTCCCGCTGAGATCTTCCCACGAACAACTTGCAAAACATTTAATCCACAATTGTAAGCATAAAGCTTAATGAGTTCTCCAGTATACCACATATTCCATCATATATACAATGCATCCATAAAAAGTGTTCAGCTCTAGCACCGACCTGACATAAACATACGTAGGAATTATATATGGAATAACGGGTCTGCTCCAACCTTGGTTGAATGTTATGGGCCAAATCATAGTCTCACAATGACATCTTTCCATAGGCCAAATCATGGTCTTTCCTTGCAATGTTGAGGGCCAAATCCTGATCTTATATACAACTTCCAGGGGCCAGATCCTGGTCTTCCATATAGTTGCCAGGGGCCAGATTCTAGTCTTCCATACAATTGTCAGGGGCTAGATCATAGTCTTTCATATAATTGTCAGGGCCCAGATCTAGGTCTTTTATACAATTCATAAAGTCATATGTATCGAATAGATTGTCCACCTGAGAGCGAACAATCAGACAAGGATATCACAATAACACATTAGACCAAGAGTTCACATGCTATCCAACTTAAACTACATGAAACCAATTCTATCATTATCACATAATCATGTAACATAACACATAACATATACTAACATATTACATCCCCTTAGCAACTAGCCTTCCCTAGTTATCATGCCACTAGCCACTTCTTAATCAAGTCATTTGTTGGACAAACATACGTAAACCTAATAACTGGCCTTCCCTAGTTACCATAACCAAACTTAACTCCTAACAGCATCATACGGTCAACAGGCAAGACCCCACCGGTCTAACATACAATGACACTAAGTGTCCTACACTACACATGCAAAACAAGGAATTATCCTAGCCAGCTAGCATATGTGTACTCTAACATTACCTCTAGCCTACCACGCAAAGGATATACAATGAGAT